ACAGCTTCAGATTCCCTTGTAACTGAAACAAAGATAAATAATGAATATGAGGGTATAGAGGAGATTCAGGAGTGAAAGTGTCCTTGTCTACCTGTCCCCACCTTCCTTGGTGATGATGTAGTTGATGGAAAGGACAGTTTTGAACTGCCACAGGGAGGAAATCCGAAGAATTAAAAACTAAAAAGAGCTTCAGAACTACTAAATCTACAAGCTGTGCTCCTCAGGATATGTAACATGTGCTATGGCTGGTTTGGGCATAAAACCCCCAGTGTTCTCACACTGATGAATGCCTAAGTACTTTGATTTTTGCATGCACTGTGTAATGCACTCTGCACAAAGCAGTCTCTTGGAAATCTAAAGGACCACCCTGTGAGAACAGATGCAATTTTCAGTCTCATTTATGATTCCCTTGCACTGAACACCACAGTGATATTGCCAGACAGGCAATCTCAATCCGAGAAGAGATGGATTCTCATTATGGCTTAATTCATAGAGCAATTATTGTTTCATGTGTGATACACAGCAAAAGCTCTACAAATTTAACTTCTAAAATGTGGGCAATGTTGACGAAACTAGATGAAAAGCTGTTTTGCCTCAAAGCCATTATGTTCCATTTTCTTTCCTACCTTTGGTATCTCAGGTACACCATGATAATGGAAAGAGGAAGAATATTCAGCAGAGCTGTTATTCTGGGAAGATGAAAGTAAGCCAGCAAAAGAGAGTACCCTTTTCTGTATTCAGGACAGGTTAAAAAACTCCCATAAATTTCTCAAGTTAAAGCACATTTCCTTTAAAATTTTTCCACCAGGGGCAGGTACAAAACTCCTACCAGGTTCAAGAGTCAGTTTTGGCTCCATAGTTGCCAGTTCAGCTGGTGTGTGCAGAGAGGGAAGGGTAAGGTGGGAGCATAAGAAAGGGGGTCAAAGAGAAGGGCAGGAAATAATAAACGAAAGACAAAAGGTATTTTCATGAGTTGTTGTTTTGCACAGCATGATTTTGTGACTCCAACACAGAGGTGTCTGCCTTTGTGGATATATAAGAAAACATTTCAAAAGTGTTGTCTCTATTATTTGCAATGACTATGGAAAACATACGCCTAATCAAAATAGGTTTGAGAATATGACTTGAAATATTCACAGGAAGAAAATTTTCTTTAAATAAATATCTCTGAGAATGCTTATACAAATGCTTTGGTGTGGCCACAAACACAAGCATTCTTGCATTTCTAATAAAAACACCAATGTAATCGACTTTGTATTTAAACCATTTAAATATTGGTAATCAGGAGTGTTTGAGAACATGTGAGAAAGAATTAGTGGGAAACCACATCCTTTAGCTTTAGAACAACCCATTCTTACTTTCTTGCTTCCTCTCTTTAGTTTTTTTTTAATTGTGATACCATGGCATTCATCGTGATATCACCTAAGTTTTATTCAAGGTGTTGTGTGCCTGTGATACCTTTCCAAAAAATATCACTGTATAAACCAGCCAGAGCTTTGAAAGTGTTTTGAAAACTGACTTGAAGTCTTGAAAATATCAAGGTGTTCAACTATGAAACATGATGCATCTTTTAACACTCTCAGCTATTAAACGTACTTCAAGTAATACTTACTCAAAAAAAGTATTTTGAAGTAATTATTTTCATTTATGAATCACAAGGTCCTGTAAAGTTGAAATATTTTTGACAAACTGTCAAAGGAGTTTTGACTCAGAGCTCAGACTTAATTTGTATGCAACATTCTAAAGCTCAGTCCACGTGTTTAGGCTAGCTAGATAGCTAAAGGCACCAAATACAATCAAAATAAGATATTCAGTAGGACAAAACAGGCATAGTAATTTTTGAAATTAGGTCACATACCTAAATTGCTAGAGCTTCTCATGAAAAGTTGCATTGGAATTATAGCACATTTTATGGAATAAAATTAACAAAGCACCAGTATCACAGAAGTTGTGTTTTTAAATAAATATAATGGGGTTCTGAGATGGCGTATTTTGGCTAGGACAGTTCAGAGTATGCCTGATCCTGACTGCAGTCTTCCAGTTTTCTCTGTAGGCGGTATTTTATTGTTCCAACTGGAACATGTTTTCATCAGTAGCAGATATTTTTTCCATGCCATTCTAATGGAGTAATTAGCTGAAAGAAAGCCTGAGTAATTATAAAGCTACATACTCCTGCTACTACTTTTGTATTTATTACTCCATGATATTGTTGCTCACCCCTGTTCTTTGATATGGAAAGTTCAAATCAGTTCTTAGGAAATAAGCCCTGACCACTTACGAAAGCATAAAATGTTTTATGATGGGTGTCACACTAGAGTACAATTTTTAGTCTATCCAGTTCTTGCTTGTGCTGATAGAATTACTAAAGAAAAAAAAAATTCAGTGTTCAATTACCTTTCACAATTTCAGCAAAATAATCCGTTCCATTTCATAAGAATGGTAAAACTTTCAATTCACTGCAGAGACATTGTAATGAAAATAATGTAAAAAAATTGCAGACTGTCATATTGAAAAAATTTCAAAAGATTTTGCTTAAAATAGCAAATTACTGGGATTTAATTTGAAAAAGAATGTAATTTGTAATTCAGTATCATCTACACAGCCCCAGTTACTATTCTGGGGTAGATGCATTTCCATTGGTGCAATAGAAATTTCGCCTAAAACATCCCAGCCTATCCTAGAACCCAACTTCCTTTATGTGTAATGCATTTTGCATTTTCATTGGATCATTCTTATTAACTTTAAAAATAACTGTATGTCCATTTTTCAGTGAGACACTCCTTTTTTCTGTGGATTTCAAGTGTCTATTTTCTTATTCAGCTCATCAGAACTGAACTAGAAGTGCTAGAAGATAGGAAATAGGTGTAGATATTTGCAGTTATTTTTATTCTTAACTGATCTGCGCAGAATAAATTAAATATGAGGAGCACCAGTGCTCATATGCTAACTCTTGTTTTGTCATTGCCAGTGGTGGTTAGCCTCATGTATGATTTGCATTTCCCTCATGCACATGAGAAGAGTATTTTGAATTAATGTCACAGGGATAATTCAGGCTGGAAGGGATCTCAGGAGGTGTTAAGTATGACCTCATGTACAAAGAAATGTCAGAACTGAGATCAGACCAAGATACTGAGGGATTTTTCCAACTGATTGTTGAAAATCTCCAAACAAGGAGGTGATAAAACATCTCTGAGCAACTTACTCCATTGCCTATCTATTTTCATGAGTAAAAAGGATTCTTTACCTCTAGATTATGGTGTTCAAAAGGCATTTGTATGATTTGCTGTTGCTGTCTTGGCTGGGTCTGCATTCCCAGGTCAGAGTTGCCTATTGCTCTTCCCTGAATTTTATGGAGACTCTGTTGGCCCAATTTCCCCTGCCCTGTCCTGCCTATCTGGATGAGAGTCCTCAAGTGTCATTCAAATTTGCTGTCACCTTCAAAGCTGATGAATGTGCCCTCCAGTGTGTCCTGCAAGTCACTGAGAGATGTTAAATAACTTGGCCTGCAATAAAACCACAGCAGCCCACTTTTTGCCAGGCTGTACTGTCCAAACTTGGACACAATCAGATTGTGGCATAAAATGTTGACCAGCCTTGGCCAAATCTAGTTAAGTCCATTGCTCCCCTGCCCCACTAATCCATTCTTTTTTTGTCAGAAAAGGTAAGTTGGGTCAGGCATGCTCCACCTATGATAAATCCATGCTGACTGTACTCAGTCCCCATCTACTTTTTCATATGCCCAGAAATGTGTTACAACAGGACTGTATTTGGGATTTTACCAAGAATCAAGACAAGGCTGACTGATTTACAGATCATCCCTGTGTCTGTTTTTGAAGGCGTGTGTGATTAGTGGCCTTTCTCCTGTCCTTGGGCTGAGTTCTGGCTTGAATGACACCAGCCCTACAAGCCCAGGCAGCTTTACTAAATTCCTCCTTTGTGCTCTGTCCTTGCTCCCAGCCATGTTTGCTGAATTTTTATGCTGGAGTTCTGCCATCATGTCCTTTTTAGCCAAGTCCTGACAAACTGCCTTGTCTGCCTTCACACGAGAGTGGGCTGTTCTTATGGACAGTGCTCTTTTTAAAGGTCTGCTAGCTTTCCTGAGCTCCTTTGCCTTTCAATGTCCTTTCAGGTTCCCACTCCACAAGTTCAGCCCAGCCCACCTAAATCCAGGCATTTCACTTTGCTAAAACATTTTAATTTTCTCTTTTCATTAGTTCAACTTTGATGTGCATGTTCCTCTAGGAGTCACTCTGCAGGTGAGTCCTAATGACTCCCCATTTACACTCTCCCAAACTAGCAGCTATTTCTGAACTTCGATCTTTCTTGCATTTCACTGTGACACAGCACTCTTTCCTAGATTTAACTGTATTTGCACTTTCTCCCTGACAGCTTCTCTGATGTTAAGATTTACTGGTGTGTTTTATTATGAAAAAGTTATATCCATTCTTTTGTATTATGTTTTCATCTCTAATATACTTGTCTTTTTATTTTTAAAAGAAGCATTTTTATCGAAGTGATAATTCAGGTGAAGTACTTTCACGACAATATCTTATTTAGTATTTATTCTCTTTATTTTTTCTTTTTCAAGATTTGGAATGAAACTGACTTTTTTTGACTGGTAGTTAGGAAGAAATGTACTTTCCCTCAAAATGAGGAAACTGGAAACTGAACATTTGTAAGGATTATGAAACTAGATAGTATTTTCACATTTTCTTCAAACCTGGCTATTTGAGAAAGGTTTTTTTTTTTAGTCTCACCCAGTGTTTGCAATCAAAAGTGAAATAGCCTGTCAATTTATAGTTTGCAGGCACGTTTACTAGTAGTTTATTAGTAGTTAATATTTACTATAGCAAATTGAATTTATTTAGATATGTGTGCTGGTTTGGGCTGGGGTAAAGTGAATTTCCTTTCCAGGGCTGTGTTTTGGATTTGTGCTGAACTCAGGGGTGATGCTGCAGAGATACTTTTGTTTTTGTTGAGCAGGAATTGAACAGAGCCAAGGCCTTTCTGCTCCTTGTGCTGAGGAGGCCCAGCCAGGACAGGTGACCCCAGCTGACCCAAGAGACATTCCAGACCATGTGGCATCATCATCAGAGGAGCAAGTGGAGGGGAGAGGGAGGGGGGACATTTGGAGTGATGGTATTTGTCCTTCCAAGTCACTGTGGTGTGTGATGGGACCCTGGGAATGGCTGAACACCTGCCCAGCCATGCGAAGCAGGGAATTCATTCCTTGCTCTGCTTTGCTGTGCAAGCTTTTGCTTCCAGTCTTAACCTGTCTTTATCCCACCCCAGGTGGGATAAAAAAGGTTTTCCAGCTTTTACCCTTTTGATTCTCTCCCTGATCCCACTGGTGGGGGAGTGAGTGAGCAGCTGTGAGGGGCTGGCTGCTGCCTGGGGTTAAGCCACAACATGTGTGATGTCTGGCAAATGTTAGAAATTAACAAATACATACTTTAACACAGTGTTCTTAGATATCATGGTGAAATATATTTGTTTACAGCTTTCTAGAATCACATACTTGAAAAGCATTCCTGAAATTTGAAGACTTTATCATGACTACCTCATGATTTCTCAGAATTCTGCCTGATTCATTTAGAGAGCAAAAGATGAGTGTTTCCCCCATGTCTTGAATAATGCTTTTATTTCCCCTGTTTAATAAAAGGGAGAAATGATGATGCTGCAATCCAGGCATCCAGCAAGGAGGAACTAGAGAAATGTCCTGACTAGATATGTGTTTGTTGTGTAGTTGTAGGTGAGGAAATCTTGCTGTGGTCTGTGCATACCAGAGTTTAAAGGATCTTTGGAATTCTACCTGATAATTCAGAGGAAAAGAATACTTTCCCCCTCCTTTTTTTTTTTTTTTCTCCAGCTGACTATATCAAGAACATTTGAATAGAATTTGAGAGATCTTCAGGACTGGCTGAAACTAAAACTTCTCTCTGAATAAAACTTTCTCTGAAATAATTTGCTGACTCCTCACCTCATTAAAAATTTGCCATTTAAACCATGTGGACTTGTGTATTTTCCAGCAGGAATTCCCTTGCAGCCCATTACTGCAATCAGAACACAGAGAGTGAAGGTAAGCAAGCTGGCACTTTTATTAACAGTTTCCAAAGCTTCTGTCAGAGTTTGCCACAGAAGGCTGTTTAGATGAGATGTAAAGTGCTTTTATAGATTCAAAGCTAAGAGACATGAAACAAAACAAGAAGATAGATGGCTATTTTTTAGCTTGGTTAAAGCTGAGCAGCAGCCACTGCTGAAGGCTGTTTCAGGTCTGGCTTTTCATCCTGAAGACATTAACACTTCCCCTACCCCAAAACCCCCAGGAATTGATAAGATGGGAACTTCTCCACATTCTTTATGTTGTCCAAGACAAGATAAAGCCAACACAAAGCCAAGACTGAGTTCATAGAATGGTCCTAGAAAACTCTATCACCAGAGTAATTCAGCGCTGGTAAATTCAGTGCAACATAATATACACTAAAATGAGACATCCAGTGATGAATAGTAGAAGGAGGTCTAAGCTGTGGGTAGTGCTCAATGCCAGGTGGTCTGTGCTAAATAAATGCTAAATCTTCTGCCAGTGCTACTGACAAACATTGCTGCTCTTCACCTGTGTTTCTCCTCAGTGGAAGTGCAGCTCCTGGGTGGTACCTTTGCTAGGGTGATGCACAGTTCACTGGTACTGATATTCTGCATGCTCAGTTCATACACAAAAGAAGCTGGTAATTGCCTTCTGGTGAATGAAAATTGTCAAATGCTCCCTTCACGTCATCCCCTGCCCAGCTTTGCCAGGCTCAGCAGTTTTTCTTCTTAAGAAGCTGCTCAAGGATACAGCAGTTAGATTTCAAATGGCTTGAAACTGCCTACACATCATAAAAACAAACCCTTTAAATGTGGTACCAGTGGCATTTTCTTTTGGCTGTTTTCACACAGGTTTATTTCAATCCATATGTGTGAATATTTTGCTCCTTTTGGATGTAAGGCAGTGGATACTCATATCTACTATAGAGAACCAGTCTCACACTCAGCTGAAAACTGGGACCATGAACTGGACACCAGAGTGGTACAGAACTTCGGACAAAGTTGTATCAAAGTACAGCAGAAGTTAGACAAATTTTGTTGCAGTTAGTCATTAAATGTATGTTTATTATATACAGACATAGGTATATTGGTAAGGAATAATAACAGATAATTATAAGTCTAAATTGTCCAGGTATAGAAATATCTAGACAAGAATAATAATTTAAATGTGCATTTATGTCCCTGTGTATGTCTAAATACAGAGATTTTTGTTAATTACTACATTACTAAATATGTTTACATGCATATAGAATTATATGTATTTATATACACAAATGTATATATCTAGTCAATTATCTAGATATCCATTTATATGATATAAATGTCATTATACAGGATGTATACATATGGTTGCTCTTTTGCCACGAAAATTACATTATTGTTTATACTCTCAGTGTAAAAGGGAGTATTGTTCCTGTTCTACTTTGTTACTTTTTTTTGTCTATTTCCTTTTTCTTTTTCTTTTACTCCCCAATAGATATTTTAAGAATATTTGAGCACGCATCTACTGTAAAATAGTTTCCAGATCCAAGATGTTATTTTGTTTATCACCAGATCTGGGAAGATACATTTTTTTTTTTTTATCGGTGTTTATAAAGTATGCATTTAGATGGGAGGAATGAAGAAATTTCTGTTGGGGGGCATGTTGTATTATTCAGTGATATTGACTCTTGGGTTGGATAATCAGCTTGAAGCTCAGAAATGTTGCTTCCTTCAGCAGGACTGCAACAGAAAAAAACTTCTGCAGACATTGTACCATACCCCTACCTGTGCCATCAGAACCTGAACAACTGCCTAACAGGAATTCTTTTTCAACATAAATTTAAATCATTGTGGAAAAGGTATAGCAAAGGTTGACTTGGAATTCAAATCTCACTAGGATTTTAATATGGCTCATTTACAGAAGTCCACTGGAAACTGAAAATCAGACATGCAATTGTCACTTTTTTCAAAGTGTTTTTAAAGTATTTAATTGAATATTTTTAAACATAAATAAAAGATAGGAACAAATTTTAAATGCCCAGAATCTGTGGTAAAATCTGTCTTTTTGGAATTTTTTAGAATGCAGGTTTCTGACAGATTCAGACAGTACTAGTGTCTCTGTAGTTATCAACTTTAGCTTTTTTCATTGATTTCACCATAATTTTTCTCTGTGATATCTTTCTTTTTGCTTTAACTCTTAAAAAAAAATGAAGGATAATATTTGATAAGGATTTTCAATAACTTAAAATATTTCCATGCTAAACCCCTCCCTCCACCAACAAAACCCCTGGAAACCTAAAAGCCTGATGCTTCAAAAGGTTTCCACTTACAGAAATTAACATTCTCAGTTATACCTTGCATCAAAGTCACACAGAGAACACAGGCACTTAACTTGTGGTATGGATTGAAAATCTACTTTCACCAAACCTCTTTGATTAACTGTTCTGATATCTTTCATTATAAGTATAGCGTTGCCTTTCCTTAAAACTTTATAATCCAAGTTAAGGTTGCTCAGATTTCTTTCTTCATTTGTAGGTTTTTGTTTTGGTGGAGTGTTCTTTTTATTTGTTTTGTCTGTTTATTTTGGTTTCTTTTTGTTTTGTTTTTTAAGATGGAAATATCATAAAACCTTAAAAACCATGAATAATCTTGCCCTACACAGGGCTTAGTAAAAAGATTAGATCGCTACCCTGAAAATAGTTTTTCACTTTCATGTCTTAAGAAATTTTGAATATAAAATATACTGCAATTCCTGTGTAAATCCTATACATCTGCATTCATTATGACTTTTGTCTACAAAAAAATAAGAAAAAAAGAATTTTGCAGCAGAGATTAGTCTTGTTTAGCAGTACTTTTGATGTACTGATATATGCACTCTGGAATGCAATCACTTATGCAGAATAATTTCCTGTATTTCTTTTCTCGCTGATTTTGTAATAAAGTGATGTCTTTTGACCATAATATTTTTAAAGTCTTTAGGAGCATTATAAAAATGCTTTTCACTGTCTTATTTTTGAATATCCACTGATCCTAGCATCGCTTTCTTATTATTATAGGCAGTGGTGAAACTTCAGTTTGGTGATGGCCAATTTCAGGTTTGGGAGCCTTTGTAACACTTCTGGTTCCAATCCAATGGATAATCATCACTGCTCTTAGCCTTTCTCTCATGCACTTAATTGTTGTTTCTTTTTATTACTATCTCCCTTGGATCATCTCCGTTCCTCAAACTGGTTTTAAGGACATTGGCAGCCACCAAACATGAAGTAAGATTAAATTATTTTGGAGTATTGTGCATCCTCCTGTGTTCCCTGGCTGTGATGAAACTGATAGCCTGAGAAAGAGACATATCAAGGCAAATTCTATCTGCTGTACTTATGCAAGAGTTTGCCCTATAACTTTGCCTCACAGCAGCAGGAGGTGCCCTGAGCTCCAGCCCACAGGCACCATGGGGCAGTGTCAGGGTAGCCCCTAAGGCAGCGTGGAGGGTTTAGAGATTATGTCACCATACCCTTAATATGCCTTTTCACATCCAACTGGCTCTATTGATCTGTGCAGCAAAGACAGACTCCTCGGGAAATGAGACAGTTCTCCCATGTCCCCTGTGCTCCCTTGCACAGTCACTTGCTTTGACAGTTCATTGTATAGTTTCTTTTCTTGTAGGTGTGTTGAGTTTCTGAACCATGAAACAAAGGATTGTGTGATCTCTCACAATCTTGTGTTCTTCTCTTGAGGTTCAGCTTGCCAGAAGGGTATGATACCCTCCCAGCTCAGGTGAGACTTCCAGAGATGGACATTCCAGACACCACAAGTGGTGCAATTCACAAACATGAAGGATGAGGATACCCTGAGAGATCTGGGCAAGCTCCAGAAGTGGCCCATGGGAATCTAAAGAGATATAGCAGGACCAAGTGCTGGATCAGGGCAGCTCCTGGAATCAACCTAAGCTGGAGATGAACAGATGGAAAGAAACCCTGCCAAGAAGGACTCGGAGGTGATGGTGGATGAGAGCCTAGACATGATCCAGCAACCTGTGCTGCCAGCAGATAGCCAAACATGTCCTGGGAAGCATCAAAAGCCTGAGAGCAGAGGACAGGGGGATTCTGCTACTTTGCCCAGCTCAGCCCCATCTACAGTAGTGCCTGCAGCTTGGGGACCCAGCACAGGAAGAACCTGGAGCTGCTGGAGTGAGTCCAAAAGAGGGCCATGAAGATTATCAGAGAAATGGAACCACTTTGCTGTGAGAAAAGTCTGAGAAAGTTGGGGTTTGTTCAGCCTGGAGAAGAGAAGCTTCAGGGTTAACTTATAGGGGTCTTTCAGTGCCTGAAGGGGTGACATGAGAGCTGCAGAGGAGCTTTTCACAAGAGCATGGTGTGACAGAACAGGGGCCGTGACTTTACACTGAAAGAGATTAGGTTTAAATGGGATATTAGGAAGAAATTTTTTAAAGTGAGGGTGGTCAGGCTCTGGCACAGGGTTCCAAGAGAAGCTGTGGCTGCCCCATCCCTGGAAGTGTCTAAGACTGGACAGGGCTGGAGCAACCTGGGATAGTGAAGGTGTCCCTGCCCATGGTGGAATAGGTTGGAATTAGATCTTTGGGATTCCTTCCAACCCAAACCATTCTACACTTCCACGGTTTAAAACTAACCAGCATAAATAAGAAGACTAAGAAGGAAAATACCTTCCAGAGTAAAGCAAGGGGTGTCCTAAGGAGGAGCTGGTCTGTTACAGAGCACTGAACTGGACCCAGCAGTGCTGAGAGAAGGGTTTGCTTTTGTGTGATAGATGACCCTAAAGAAAGCAATGGTTGAGCATGGGCTAAATTGATGTCATGGAGACATGGGAAACCACAGAAGGATGATTCTCTCCTCTTTCTGCAGGATATTTCGCATTACTCCTTCCTTAACACTTTTTCCCTGGAGAGGAGGGGGAAATGCACTCTGGTCCAAGCAAAAATTGGGAGTATTTGAATCCAATCTGGCTTTCTACAACAGAAAAGCCAGTCCCTGAAATTACTGGACTGAACAAATCTTCTCAGTCTGCACTGGCTTTAATGGGTACCACAAGATCTGCTGCTGTTGAGCTCAGTTGCCTTCTGGTACATGGCTACCTGGGATTCAGGGAATCATTCTGTGGAAAGGAGAACATTTCTTGGTGCTGCTGGTGTGGTGTCAGCAGGAAATCACAAGCAATAAAAGATCCCACACTGTATGCAAGACTAAGAATTTACAGTGGGAAACTCAAAGGATAGGAAAGTGGAAGGAAGGTTTTCTGAGTATCATCATTCTGTCAGTCTTTACACTTGAAAGATTTAATTGACCCTTCCTTAGTAAAAAGTATTTTCTGATCAGAAATACATCTCTTTGACATTAAATGGGATTTTGAGCAGGATTTCTAGGGTAGTAAAATTTTACTCTTTATTTTACTTGCAAGTTTAATCTCTTCTTTAATCCAGAGGAAATAAGTATCTATGCTTTTTTTTGCCTGTGCCCTTTGCAGGAATGTGTTGTACTTGTGTGTTTTGTTCAGCAGTATTTCTCTGAACTAATTAACTTGTAATATTCAGCCCTTTTGTATTTTATATAGGTGTATTAGTAAGAAGAAAAAAAAAAAGAAAAAACCCTACTTTCATCCTAAATACAATTATTTTTCATTAATTTCCTCTACAGCTAGTGGAGAAAAATAAGTATCTCCAGACAGTTATTCCGTAGTAGGCAATGGACATTGTTTTGTTTCCAGAGAGGAATTCTAGGTTTAGAAAAACATAGCACTTCTTTTTTAAAGATGAGTTGTTTGAAACCACCTGCTCTGTTAAAAAGCCCTGTCTCACGACACAGAATCAAGGCAGTTTATAGAGACTTGTCATGATTCACCAGCCTGTCTGGACATTTACACCTAGTGACAAAAATGGTTCAACTTCTCTCCCTGACTAGTGTATTTCTTTAAAAATAATCTGCAAGAGACAGCAGGTCATTTGTTTATTCAGATTAAGATATGTATTTTCAGAAGCAGGCAGAAGGGTTTGTGAGGATGTGAACAGAAAGAACATATTGGATACAGCCAGTGCCTATAGACAGCACTGCTGCTTTATACATTTTAAAAGAAAATAAAAAATTAAAACACCTACTGAATGCCATATGCTTAGACAACAGGTTAAAGAAACTGTTCAAAAGCCTAGTACAAATACAATGAGGTACCTCAGAAGGTGTGGTTTTTGTGATAAACAAAATAAATTCCTTTGAGACCAATTAGTATTTAGTTAAAGAATTTATAAATAATGCCTTTTTCAACAATGTGTTTAAATATTTAATTTTGTTAAAATGGATATAATTGCCCAGTTTCACACTGGAGAAGTGAGCTTTTGAAGACTAACCGTTTGAAATATTTAGAAAATTATTATCAGTGTCTGATGGAAAGCTTGGGGTGGGGGGAGGGAGAGATAGAGGACATTTTAACTTCATAGTTTCTCTTACCCATCCCTGTCATCTTTAGTTTGAAGCAGAAACTGGAATATGAGAGGAGGATGGAAAAAGTCTGAGGAATGCCTATAACAGCACTGCGTGTGCCAGGTTCTTCCAGCAGCACCACATTAAGGAGCCAGATTGCTCTGAACAGGTAAGCCAAAAACTGTAGTTCAGACCACTCAAAATTTGGGCTCATTTTTCAAAGTCATGCAGCAGTCTGATCTGTTGCAGTCACCTTAAAAAAAACAGTGTCTCTGTGTGTGTTTGTGGTGGTTGGTTAATATTTCCCAGTGGTATTTTAGTCACGAGCTGTGTTGTGTTTCACTGCAAATGAAAATGTTGCGGACACCAAGACATGGCTGTTCATGATTCCCTTTAATCCATGGGTAAAATAACAGACCAAGTCAAGGAGCTGCAATGCCCATACTCTCCCTGTTTGTTGAATGTATTTGTTTCTAATAAAAGCAGCAGAACCTATTCAGAAATACACCAGTATGTAATATGCAAATAAAAAACCAGTATGGAAATAATTAAATAAACCACTTGTGCATAAAATGGACATTATTCTTCTGCAACTTGCCTAACAGAGAAAAACAGGATAGGGAACACAATGCAAATTACTTGCTAAAAGTGTTTCCTGTGCTGATTGCTGCCAGGTTCTGGCAATAAATGTCAGAGTCTGGACTTGATACTGAATGCTTGAGACTTTCTTGCTGTGTTTCTCTGTCATTTCCCTGAAGCTCTTTTTCTTCACTGCTTGAGTGGAGGTGATAGGGGACAGAGGGGCTGAATCAGGAATTGCAATTTTCATTAGCTGATGTGGAGGAGAGGGAAAGAGCAGGAGGTGAAGCTGTGCAGTCACACTGAAGAAGACATTTTTTTTGCCTGCAGCAAAAAAATGAATTCTTGTGATGTGTGACTGGCCAGGATTTCTTTTTCCCTGATCCATCCTGTATGTATTGTTAGACTACCACCCCCTGAAATACTCCATCCCATCTGACCTTGGGCATTCCATGGCACAAGAGACATGTGTTACAGAGCAATCAGAGATGACCTGATGAGTTTAATACAGCATTCAGCTGCTGCTCCTGATTTTTGATTATTTAAAGGGAGCACAAAGTAAGTCCTCCTGTCCAGACTGCCAGCTTGGAGGGACTGGTAAGAGCCACAGAAAAAAAGCCATGCAAATCCCAAATATTTTGATAGGTTTTATCTCCATTCCCCTGAAGGCAAAATTTCAACAACTTCCAGTAAAATGAAAAATGGTTTTACCAGAAAATTTTCTTATTCTTTGGACGTGTCATGTCCTACCATCACATTTGATCTATTAATGAAAATATAAACCCCAATTTAGACATTGTAATTTTGAACTACAAAGGAATATCATTTATAGGCATTGGTATAGACTGTTAAACTTTGTTGAAATGGGAAATCTACTCATTTAAATTTTTTCCTGTGAAAAGTTTTAAGTTCCTTGATTCCATATTTTCTAACGGAAAAAAACCTTTGGGATATGAACCCACAAGGTCAGCTTGCTGAGTAGGACAGATAGCTGCAACATAGACTAGCCACACTATTCTCCCATTTCAGCCAATGAGAACAGGGGCAATGATTGCAGCTACAGTTACAACTACATTTGCTTATTTATATTTTTAGGATGCCAGTTTAGTCTCTGCATTTTCTGACAGCATTTGTGACATCAGATTTCAAGGTTGTGAGAGACATAAATTATAATAACTCATCCCTTTCTTTTTTTTAATGCATAAATTTCTGCTAAGACATTTTCTGTATTCTTGCTGGTAAAGATGTAGGAGGACTTTTTGGTTGTCAGGCTCTCACCTATGTGATTGGCATACTTCAAACAGAGAATTTGTGCATTATTGCAATATGATAATTCTTGCATTTCACTGCTGCAAAAATGCTGTTTATTTTGGTGGAAAATGGACCATAAAACAGGGATAATCAAGATTCAGTGCTTAAATGCAGCTAATTTAAGGTTGCCATGGAGGACTTTTGACTAATTCCCTCTGTAGTTTGTGCACAACCTGGTGAGTAATGCAAAATGAAAGTGGATAGAGGATCACTGTATCCGAATAAAAACTGTGTCTGCATGCTCTGCTAGTTCTCTGCCTGCCTTGTCATGGTAGAGAATTGCTCCTGTGTTAATGAATTTATTGCATCCCATCACATATTTCAGCAGCATTTTGAGTGCTCATGCTTCTGCTGATGTGTAACCTGTCCTAGTTGGAGATAAAGGGCTGGCATCAGCAGAATTATAATCACCTGCAAGAAATCAAAGCAATGGGTAGTTTCGCTGAACACTTAAACTTGCTCATGCTGTTGTAAAAAATTATTTCTTTCCTGTGCCACCTCACCAGCATTGTGCCTAGAAAAAGATTTTTGTAAACTAATCACTGATTTCCAATATCAGATTTCTTGCTCACAGTATAGAAGCTTCAGCATAGACTGTTGGGAGATATTTTGATGCAGATTTCTGGGAAAGTGTTCTATCTTTCAATAGCAGAAAATCCAGAGACATGAAGGTTGATTTGAAATCCACTGTTCACCTCATTTCCTCTAGCAATTAGAGGAGTTTGGATCCAGGGCTAAAACTTTAATTATAAATGCAAAAACCATTTAGTGATCTTCTGGGGTAATAGTGTCTTCTAAAACTACATCTGCAGTAGCAGTTTTTCATGTATTAATCGTGGCAAAATATTATCTAGGAGTTATAACATTCCAGATGATTAATGGCTTTATGGATTTTGGCTATACTAATATTTATATTCCATATATTTTATGCCTTTGCAGCAGGAACAATTTGTGAGTGTGGGAAACTCAAAGAGAAACTTGAAATTCTGGGCTGTGTTAATCCCTGGCACAGCTTAGCTCTTGGTAATAGCTGTATTACAGCAATTTAGAAATTACCCATATTACAAAAGACAGTTCCCAGAACCATGTCTCCACCACAAGAAGCAATGGAGATGTAAAGATGTGAAGACAAAAACTATGTGAAGTCCCCATTCCGAAGGGCTCACTATTCCAAAGACCAGCAGGATAAGACAGAACTTGGTAAAGAGGGAGTCTGTGTGTGAGGTGTCAGGGATACTTCATCACAGCCAGTCAGCAAAATATTGTTAATTATACTGAGTAATACTTCATTTACATTTGGCAATGTTGTATTCCTTTTGCATATTCAAATGAGTAAAATAATCTGTACAATGATGCACAGATGATTTTTGAAAAATTGGTTTGATTGCAGTAACCAAGCCAGGGCACGGAATATTCACTGGCTGTGTTTGATGCTGGCAGCAGTCAGCAGTACCACCTTCAGGATGAGTGCCAGGGTGGTCTCTCCTTTCTGCACTCTGGCAGTATAAGAAATGCCTTGCTGAAAGAAAACACTTTAAATGGTGGGATTGAGCTCTCTAAAAGAGCCTGAAGAGAAATTTAGCAGGACTGACATACAAAAGATATGTGGGACTGAGTCACATGGAAAGGGGACTCAACCCTTGGTGTTGGATTTGTCTGTCAGCATCCCAGGAAAGCTGTAACCCTTGTGCCCCACCAGACTGTCAGTGTCTCATTACAGGGACCCTTCACTGGACAGCCCTGCTGGATTGGAGGGGTTTGGACTGACTTTTTCAGGGGCACACCCCAACAGCACCTCGGACACCCCTCATGGGTCTCCCCACATTGTTTGTGTCTGTTCCCCACGGCCGGTGCTGCCGGTGCCTGAAGGATCCCATGGACAGTTTATGGAATAAGAGTCTCTATTAACACAAAACTGTGACAGCCCAAGATTTGAGGAGCATCACTGACAGTATCTGACTGCAAAAACAGGATCAAAGCACAGATGAGCTCTAAACCTCAATAAAAGCATTCAGCACACATAGAGTTCTCACCTGACAGGTTTCCCTACAGTAGAGAAGGCAGGTTCAGCCTATTGACTGATCCCAGCATTTACAATGCAATCTTCCCTAAATTTCCCTGTTCTTATTTTTGTACTATATATTAGTATTTAGGTGCAATTGGAGTGGCTCAGGTCATACCTACCCTTGTTGCTGATGGTGTAAATTTCTCTCACCTGGCTCAGACACAGTCGATGAAGCACAGAGCAGGTGCCCAGTGAGGGGCGGTCAGACCCTGGGGCAGGAACGCAGGGATGGAGGGGTGTGTTGATATCACTGTTAGCTCATCACGAACCCAGTTCATCCAAAGAGAGTGACTCCACCCCAGCTGCTGCCTCAGCAGCAGGACATCTCCTCCTCTCTGCCCTGGCTGACAGGTGCTGTGGGGTTCATCAGCTGCAGAGAACCATCAAATTCCCCTCCCTGAGAGGTTTCCAGCAGAGCCCTGCAAGCGACCCTCCATTCCACCCCCCCCTTAGCAGGTGCTGTGGGTGCAGATTTGGGTGTGGTAATCACTGTGGGAGGAGTCTCAAGCATTCCAGCCACATTCCATCCAGGGACAGCAACTGCATTTTACCCTGTAATTTCTGTACTGTTATAGCTTCTGTTAGGATAGAACTTCTCAGTTTCCTCTGATTTTACTTTCAGCCATCCTTCCACTGTCAAAGCTCTCACCACTGGCCCAAATCTTTATGCATCTAAATTGATAATAAAACTCCTTCTAGCTTGGAGAAGAATCTACAGGCTGAGGCAGTGGAGTGTATTTATGCAGTGCTTTCTTTGCAGCCGTGGCAAAGAGCTGGAAGTGCCAGGAAGAGGAACTATCCAGTTTCACTATGGTTATCAATCTGCCTTCCCTCTGGTGGTACTTGTCCTCATGGTGCCAACTGAGGGGGACATCCAGGTGAGCATCCTGACTCTGAGAATGGAAAGGGAGCTCCAGCCCCAGTTCACTGTAAGAAATGGGATCTGGGTAACTGTGGGGCAGAGTAGAGACTGATGTAGCTGAAAAAGGCCATCAGAGATAGGGGGCTTAGCAGAGAGAGAGGGAGAGAAGGAGGGAGAGAGGGAGGGGCTGAATGTCCTTCCCATCAGTTTTCATTGCTGTTTTAGTCTTGCCATTCCTCTTAACACTATTTTGCCTTCTTATACCTGTACCTTTATTTTATTTTATTTTTCCCCATGCTGGTTGTGGGAATAAAAACAGTTAATATAAATTATAACAGTTTTTATTTTCTAGCAGCTGAAGCACTGGGGAGCAACATTCAGGGACCAATTGGGCTGTAAAGCAGCACAGCACAGGCACAGGCTCTGCTGATGACAATTTACAGCATAAACAAGCAGACCTGGTGCTTCATGATAGGGCTGGGAGAACCACAGAGACCTAAATAATCCTTCCCCAATTAGAAAAACTCCCACATTGCAAAACTGGAATCATTAGCATCACCTAGTACAACTAGTTGGATAATGGGCAGTATACAGTGCAGCACTTCCAAGTGAAAAAAATCCCCTGCATTTCTGTGAATAATACATTTTAACACTTAATAGCTTTCTTGCATAGAGTCAGAGCTTTTCTTCAATTCTACATGTTTTCCATTTCAGTTTTCAGCTCTTGAGTGCTGATGAGTATTTTTCAGTT